TTGACATTGATTGTGTGCCTTGCATTAAATGAGGAGGCCTTGGGTGGCACAAATGATTAAACACTTGGAAGGATGGTGGTTCAAACCCACCCAGAGGCGTCTCAGAAGTCAGGCCTGGTGATCTGCTTCCGATAGGACACTTTGAAGACCCCATGGAGTGGTTCTACTCTGCACACATGTGGTCGCCATGAGTCAGAATCAACTGACAGCAACTAACAACGCACAAGCCTACACCACCCCTCAGTTCTGTTTCTACCTAACATCCCCCCCTTGACATGAAGTTGACAAGGTTATGGGCATGGAAAATGTTGGAAAATCTAAGTTAGCTCTGACCTGCATCTCCTAAGCTCTTGGAGATTTAGGGAGGTGTTCATCATCTGAAGTGCCATCAAATCTCCTTCAAGTGAAGCGCTAGGCACTCCTGAAGAGTTGTTATTAAAATGTCGTACTTAACCTTACTGGTTTGCTTACTTTTATTCTCTTGAAAGTCTCTGCATAACTTGTTTTCTAGTTATAAAAATCTATGTTCATTTTAGAAAATTTGGAAATCCCAAAAAGGTATAAAACGGAAAGAAATCACCTATAGTCCCAACATTCAGAGTCTTTTTATTAACATTCTTTTATAGATAATTGCAGTTTTATGTACATACAATTTAAAAAACATTGGGGATCATACCAGTTACCATGTGTGTCAGAGTCGAACTGTGCTCCATAGAGTTTTCAGTGGCTAATTTTTCAGAAGTAGATCGCCAGGCCTTTCTTCTAAGTCACTTCTGGGTGGACTCAAATCTCCAACCTTTGAGGTTATCAACTGAGCACATTAATTGTTTGTACCATCCAATGACTCCATTTGGGATCATACTATTTAGTAATTTGATTTTTTTTTAAACTGAATAATATATGATAATTTCCTCAGGTCATTTTATCTTCTTCTAAAGCATGATCTTTTAAAGACTCCATAGCATCACGGCATTTGGATATACTATAATTTACTTAATAATCCTCTTAAGTTTAGACACTATAGTGGATATTTGTCATTCTTATAGGCTACTTTGTGTCAATCCACCTGTGTTTAGAGGTTCTTCCACCCAATGAGACAGGGCCTGCCTCCCCCTAGGGAAGTTGAAAATAGTACTCACTTTCCCAGGCTCCCTTGCAGCTAGCACCAGCTATGAATAGGAAGCTACTGTGTGAAGAAGCAGGGACCTCAAGGCCTCCACTGAGTGAGAGTAGGGCAGGGGGGCGATCAGATTCCAGAGCCCTGCTGTTCAACAGCTGTGGTGCTGGAAGTACCAGCTAGAGCGTCTGTGCCCAGGGGCGGCAGCATGATGTCTTCATTAGACATTCTGCGGCTTGATTCTGAGTCTTGTTCCAAGTCTCCATGATTCCCTGGTTTTCCTGGAGATTTGTGAGCTATACGGGATCATTTAATAACAGCCCCCTGTCACATGTTTTTTTTTTTCTTAAAATAGCCAGACTCAGTTTCTGTTGCTTGTAACAACAAAAAGCGCTGACAGATAAAAATATTTAGGTTGTTTTTAACATTTGCTATTTTAGATAATGTGTAGCCAACATTCTTGGACACAACTCCATAGAAATACACATCTATGTATTTCCTTAGGATAAATTTCTAGACTTAGAATTCCTGAATTAAATGGATGAACATTTTCCAGGCACTTGATAAATATTGCCAAATTGTGCTCCAGAAAACTAGGTATTTTTTAATGTCCTATTTCTGCAGTTTCCTCCCCCCCCCACCTTTTTTTTTAAAAGATGTGATGTCCTTTGTATTTATATTACTTTTTTAGTTTTCATCCATTCATTCAACAGACATGAATACCCACTATGTGTCAGGCACTATGCAGAGCCCTGGAACAAGAAGTATGCATTCAACTAATTATAGTATGAAGTCAAGAGGACTGTAGCAGAGGTGTTGAGGAATTATGGAGCCCTGGTGGCTGGGGATTTATGGCATCTCAATAAATAGCACCACTCTTCCTTGCCTGAGCTCTAAACTAAATGAGGAATAAGACAATTGAGTAAAGCAAATTTGGGGATCAAAAATATATCCTTTGTTAAGTTGATATTGGGGAATCTGGATTTTATCTGTAGGCAGTGGGCTTCCTAATTCTGAACCCCCCAGTCAGGCAGGTTTGCCCACCCCGGCTGGAAGAGCAGAAAGCAGAGAGGAAGATCTTTGGTGCCACATGCTCTTTTTACACCTTCCAAAAATCACCACCCAGACAGGGTATCGCCTCCTTCCATGGGACCAAGGTGGTAGAGGGGTATAGAGCCAATGGAGCTACTACCACATGGAAGGAAGCATCAGGAATAAAGAATAAGTATTTATCCCCAACAAGAGGTATAAACGAAGAGGAGGGAGAGATTGGCTGCGAGGGTTGGGGAAGGCTTCACATGCACCCAAGTGTTATTGGGCCTGGGCCTTGAAAAATTTCACCTGAAAGACAAGTGGTGAAACTGGCTATTAGCACATCCAAACACATGGAACAGACCTTGAAACTTACATATCTAAAAGAAAATGTCTGTGGGCAGATCAGGTCCCTGGGTGGTGCAATTTGAGCTTGGCTACTAACCATAAGGTTGGAGGTTCAAACCTACCTATTCGCCCCATGGAAGAAAGGCCTGGGGATCTATTTCCTTAAGATTACAGCCATTGAAAATCCTATGGAGCACAGTTCTACTCTGAAACACGTCGTGTTGCCATGAGTTGAAATCCACTCAACAGCAATGGGTTTGGCAACAGGTTTATGTGTGGGCAGGTCAGCCAATGTTTGCCAAAGAGAAGGGGAAACAGACATAGGATGTTGTCAGTGTACATCTGGTCCTGCCTAAGGAAGAATCACTCCTCCCCCTGGAACCCTCAACTTCCTGGTCTGAACAAGGACCCTCCCCCATGTGGGAGAGGTTGGCAGCTGTTCCACAAACATGTTTCCTGGTCCTTCCGGGCTAGATTACATTTCTAAGTTAGGTGTGTCCGTGTGACTCAGGACTGGGCAATGGACAGTGGGCACAAGTGGTGCAACACATGCAGGTATGCCCCCTTAGTAGGTTAGGTAGAGCTCCTCAAAAACTCATGTCCACCCAGAACCTCAGAATGTGACCTTATTTTTGCAGATGTAAAAAAGGTAAGGATCTTGAGATGAGATCATTCTGGATAAGGGCGAGCCCTAAATCCGATAAAGAGTGTCCTTACAGGAGATAGAAAAAGAAGACACAGAGAGATAGAGAGGGGAGAAAGCCATGTGAGACAGAAGCAGAGACTAGAGCGATGCATCTACAGGCCAGGGAGCGCCAAGGATTGCTTGCAGCCACCTGAAGCTAGGAGAGAGGCAAGGAACAGATTCTCCCTCGGAGACCCCGGAAGGAACCAACCCTGCTGACACCTGATTTCAGACTTCTGGTCTCCAGGACTGTGAGAGAATAAATTTTTATTGTTTTAAGTCACCTAGTTTCTGGTAATTTGTCATGGTAGCCCTGGGAGACTAATAATAATAAAACCCGTTGCCACTGAGTTGATTCCAACTCATAGCGACCCTGTAGGACAGAGTAGAACTGTCCCATAGGGTTTCCAAGAAGCAGTTGGTGAATTCGAACTGCCAACCTTTTGGATAGCAGCCAAGCTCTTAACCACTGTGCCTAAACACCTCCCATGCACAGTCTACCCTGTTCTTTCACTCTGTGGCTGGCTGGAATGGAGACAATCCCTAGGCTGACCTTGGAAGCATGCGTTGAGGCCGTGAGCGCCACAAGATGGAATAAGCCCAGATTCCTGAATCACTGCTCTGAGGAACATGGGTAAGGGAGAAGCAGTGTTATTGTAAACCTCTGTTTTCTGGACTTACCTGTTACAGCAGCTAATTTATATTAACTAATGTCCCTCTCCCCATAAAGTAATAAATTGTCATTCTAGCTTGCACAACAGTCTCGTAGAATTTATAAATTCTATTTTGCCACTTGAGACACTGACCATCTATGAAGAAAAAAAAAGTCCTATTTTCAGAACTGTGAAGCTGAAGAACAGACTCCCCTCCACAAACAAAACAACACTGAGGGATGGGTCCTGCCTGCACTCAGTCAACATCTCGGCAAATGGCCTTAGTTCCTCATTAGGTGAACCTCCCGTTAAGGCTGCTTGAGTGTCCTCACGACAAGGCAGCTGGTTTCCACCAGAGCAAGTGATCCAGGAGAGAGCAGGATGGAAACCACAATGTCTCTTATGACCTAGTCTTGGAAGTCACACATCATTATTTCCACAATATCCTCTTGTTTACACAGATCAGCCCTAGTCAGTGTGGGAGGAGATTACACAAGAGCATGAATACCAGGGAACAAAAATCATTGGGGGCCATCCTGGAAAACTTGCTCCATCCCAATTTTGTGACCTTTTGGAATTTGACCTTCCTTCTAACATGGACCACATCATGACAATTTCTATAATGAACATCAGATTGCTGGCCCCACCAATGGGGGCCATTTCTATTTTAATGATTGATTTGAGTTGTAACAACAAAATACCTACCACTGGTATCTAAGTAGCCTTTGTAGCGTTTCTTTTAGTTTTTAAATCTAAATTTAAATCTTGGGAGGCAGGTCAGATGAATAGTATAATCCTTATTTTATAAATAATTAAACAGAGTCATGAATGCTTTGCTCAGGTTACAGCCCATCAATATAGAACTGATCGCAGCACACAGGTCCCATGACCCCAGCAAAAGGTTTCTTTTGCAAGGCCACACTGTTTTACTTTGTCTGGTGGTAATAAACACTCAATGTTTGTATTTATCTTTTCAATGAGACTGTGAAAAATAAAAGGGTGCCTTTCTGAAACCAATATTCAAGATTTAGATAATCTAATCAGAGAAATAGAAAACTGCTTCTCCCAAAGCCCACCACTGGATCATCCTTTTTCACTTCACGTTCTTTCTTTCTTTCTTTTTTTTTTATTGTGCTTTAGGTGAAAGTTTACAGCTCAAGTTTTAAAAAGTACAGAATGTGTCACGAATTTGCACATCATCCTTGTGCAGGGACCATGCTAATCTTCCCTGTATCATTCCAATTTTAGTATATGCGCTGCCTAAGTGACTACTCATGTTATTTCTTAACTTCTCATTTTCATCCCAGAATCTCATCTAGGTTTTTCCAGACCTAGGCTATGCCTCCATTGACCATTGGAGAATTAAAAATTAAATTATCCTAAGAAAATTTTTTAAAAGGTGAGTTATCATCTTTTTGTATTTGGGGGTTATTTTCCACCTTTCAGTGTCTCACTGCCAAGGCAGTCAATCAAGGTCAAACTGGGATTTTTGGCATCTGTTGAGTAGACAACCATGAATTTCTAAATCTCTTTCAAGGTCAGAATGCCAATTGGCAGGGGAAGCTTAAAACAACAGCCCCATTGAGTTTTATTTATTCTACTGGAGCAATAAACCAAAGATGAGAGAGTTATGCTTCTTTGGAATTCCATGTCTGTCAATATGAGGAGCCCACATTATCTGGGCAGACCTGGCATAGGTGTGGCCTGATAATTTCCTGGGGGAAAGATGTTCTTGTCACTCATGCTGACCCTTGTTCCCCTGGGATTCTGACTCTGGGCTTGCCTGAGTACCATTTTTAGCCCATGCTTCATTGAATATCTAATATGGGGCACTTTATCATGAATTATCATGAATTAGCTTGGAAGAATTCACTCAAGCCAGGGTCATTACAAAGAGATCAAAGGGAACTCAATAAACTGACAAACTCAGTCAGTCATATATTGAATGCTTCTATGATAATTCTGCCTAGACTTGTACTTTGTGTTCAAATGATGAGTGTCCATACTTTAGCCATGTTCAGCATATGGCCATGACTTTATGCTTTGTGCTTTCCTTCCCATTAGATTGACTTCATTGCAACGAGATTTACTGTAAATGGGTCATCCAAATAATTTGATATATGGGTAGAAGTGTGGGAACCCTGGGCATCAAAATTCTCTGCCTATCTGAGCTCTAAGTGGCCTTCCTTCACCCAAGTGGGTTGCCACCCTAGGTAGGGATTCCAGTCTATTCACTGCCATGTATATATGCCCAGACATGGGTGCTATTACAGTGCCAACAAATGCAGATTATTATGCTTTCCCAGGGCTTTTATATATAACGATACTTGAGCTTGCAAGCAGCTCTATAAGCTGAAACGGCAGGTGTGTTTAGCCCCATTTTTAAAGGTGGATGCTGGGACCCAGATTGATAAAGCAACTTTCTGAAGGAATAAACTAGGTATTAGTGTAACCCAGAGCCCTGATGGCACAGTGGTTAAGAGCTAGGGCTGCTAACCAAAGGTCAGCAGTTCTACCAGCTGCTCCTTGGAAACCCTATGAGGCAGTTCTATTCTGTCCTATAGGGTCGCTTTAATTTGGAATTGACTCGACAGCAATGGGTTTGGTTTGGTTTTTGCTAAGTGTAACCCAGGTCTTTTCATTTGATCAGTGCACCTTTTCTGACACCTTCTCCAGGGCACAGCTAGCTGTGTAGAAAATTGAGGTGGTGCTGCTTGAGAGCCAATTCTAAGTCATTTCTCTTAACACTGGTCTTAATTTGGCCAGAGAAATGCCAGGACTGAATTAAGGCACCAGAACAAAATCAGTGAGACATCGCTCAAACAAAGACTTCCCTTAAGCTGTCTCTTGATGTCATCTCTCAAAAGATTTCTCCTAGCTCCTATGCCTTGCTGACTGCCCAGTGTGCTTGATGAAAATATTCCCTGCTTCACTCTCAATAGTCTTCTAAGTGAAAGGGAGGGTGAGAGCTGAGATGACATTTCTCAGCCATCCCAGGCTGAGGAATTAGATCCACATGAAGGGCCTTGGTGAGCCTGGTGTATGTCCATCTTGTTCCAGTCTCTTCTTTGCCCTGTTGAAAATGAATTCAAGAAAACCTAAATGCCATGAGACTCCATTTGGAGGGTGAAGTAAATGGACATTTCAGAGCCAGCAAAGAATGATGGGAACAAGAAAAAGGCAGTCTTTAGCTTTTCATAGCCTTTGTCTGGATCCTGCATGTTATGCAACAATGTCCTAATTATTCTCCCTCCCTAAAATCTCACAGACTTCCTCTTGGTTTGATTTTCTGTTTGACAATATTTGTTGAGCCTCTACTATATGGCAGGCACTGTGCTAGATGCTGGTGATATGGCAGTGAGCCAAACCCACAGCTTCCTTACTTACCCTCATGGACTTTTACAGTCAAGGAAAAAAAGACAGACATTCAGCAATTTCAGTAAAGGGTAATGATTATTACGATCGCAGAAATGTCAAGGTAAAAGGGCAAGGGAAACATTCCTAGCAGAAGAAATAGCATGTGTGAAGGCTCAGAGCTTGGACACAATATAGAGAGTAAGATGAAAGTGATGTGGGAGGTTGGTACAAGCATAATGGTGCGGGGCCTTCTAGACCTGCTCAGGCCACTGTGGTGACCACTGCCCACATGTGGCTACTGAGCACTTGAAATGTGGCTAGTACCAATTGAGATATACTGTAAGCATACATTACAAACAAAAAAACCCAAATCCATTGCTGTCCAGTCGATTCTGACTCATAGTGACCCTACAGGACAGCATAGAATTGCCCTATAGGGTTTCCAAGGCTGTAATCTTTATGGAGGAGAGCCCCGGTGGCACAGTGATTAAGCATTTGGTTGCTAACCGAAAGGTCAGCAGTTTAAACCCACCAGCCGCTCTGTGGGAGAAAGATGTGGCAGTCTGCTTTTGTAAAGATTTACAGCCTTGGAAACCCTATGAGGCAGTTCTACTCTGTCCTACAGGGTCACTATGAGTCGGAATTGACTAAATGGCAAGGGGTTTCTTAACCTTTATGGAAGGGAAGCAGATTGCCACATCTTTCTCCCACAGGGCAGCTGGTGGGTTCCAACTGCTGACCTTTCGGCTAGCAGCCAGATGCTTAACCACTGAGCCACCAGGGCTCCTTAAGTACATATTACATACTGGATTTCTAAGATTGGTGCAGAAAGGATGTAATATATCTCATTAACAATTTTATATCGATTATATGTTAAAATGATAACATTTTGGATATACTGGGTTAAATAAAAACACAAAAGTAAAAAAACAGCAAAAAATTAATTTTGCCTATTTTTATTACTTTTTTTGTGTGGCTACTAGAAAATTTCAAGTTACATATATACCTCACATTATATTTCTATTAGACAGCACTATTTTGGACTAAAAGGAATCTAGATTTTATCCTGAGAGCAGCACGAAGTTTTTGACATGTTTTAAACAGGGAAGGGACACAATCAGATATGCATTTTCAAAAGACTGTGGTGAGAAGACTGGGTGGTAGGAAGACAAGACTAGAGGTGAGGAGACCAGTTAGGGAGAAGTTGCAGTGGTTCAGGGGCGAGATGGTGGATTAGATGGAGTGCTAGTAGGGGTAAAGAGAACTTTTTAAAAGCAGAATCACTAATACCAAACAGTCCCCATTCCTATGAGAAATCATAGGTTGAACCACATGAAATTGCCATCTTTGTTGATTAAAAATGGCTGAATATGGAAAGAGCCACTAAGAGCCCAAGTGGGAACAACTGAGCCACAAAATACTGCATTATAACTCAAAGGATGACATAAATATCCATGATTCCATAATGACATAAATTACTGAATAAATAAATAAATGGAGGAGAAGCAACAATTCTTTCTTACAGAAATAAGTGTAGAAAGAATGAGGGGAATAGGAAATCACCATTAGCACCTCACAGTAATAATTGTTATAGGAACATCCACTGGCAGACACTGAAATAAGTGGAACAAAGTTTAAGCAAAAACATATGATTTGCATAGTCTTAAAGTATCTCCCTCCAAATATTTAAGTTATAAAGGGAAAAATACTATGTTTACAGTGGAGAATTCTAGCAGACATCTCCTTGGCCAAGTGGTCAAGGTTAACATCACCAGTAATACAGATTGACATCATGTATTCCCAGGTGCCTATCTATGGAGAATAGTACCTATGGCAATTAGTTTTAAACTGCTGAATGATTTCTCACAGCTGGTGATCACAATAGAAACTGTTCATTGGCACCCCTCCTCAAGCGGCACCCAGGGCACGCGCTGTACCTGCCATACCTTAGTTACGCCTGTTAAATATTCCCTGACACAGTGCACTGAAAAGGGCATATCACCTCTGTGGTCTCTTTCCCAATAATGCATAACCTCAATCTAATGAAAAAACCTCGAACAAATCCAAATTGAGGGGCATTGTACAAAATAACTGACCAGTACTCTTTGAAAGTAAGATAAGGAAAGACTAAGGAACTATCAGAGATTGGAGGAGATGGTGGAGACATGGCAACTGAACGCAATGTGAGACACTAGATTGGCTCCTGGAATAGAAAAATTACTAGAAAAACTGGTAAAATCCAAGTAAGTTCTTCACTTAATAGTATTATTAGTTGCTGTCAAATCAGTGCTGACTCATGGCGACCCCGTGTGCGCGGAATAGAACTGCTCCATAGGGTTTCCAAAGCTGTGACCTTTCAGAAGCACATCACCAGGCCTGTCTTCCGAAGCACCTTGGGTAGGTTCGAACCACTAACCTTTCGGCTAGTGGTTGAGCAGTTAACCCTTTGCGCCACCCTTTCTTCATAGTATTATACCAGGTTAATTTCTTAGTTTTGATAAATGTTCTGTAGTTACATGCTATCATAAGGGGAAGCTGGGTGAAGGGTATATGGGAACTTTACTATTTCGCAACTTTAAGTATAAAAATATCTTTAAAAATTTAACTGTTAACACAGTTGAATATCAGCCATTTCATATAGTTCAACTCAATATAAAACCAAACAAAAAACAAAACTGAAGTGTTAAAGCTACACTAACACCCTGTTAACGTGCTACAAGTTTACTTGTTTTGAGGTAACTTATTCCTTGATCTGATTTACAAGATTCCTACTCAAGTCTCAGGTGCCAACTAGTACTGGGAAGAGCACAGCAGGGGATGGCACAGTTCCATTGGCCCTGTCATTACAGGGGACTGGGCATTGGGACAGGCAGAGAATACTTCAGCCAGCTTCCTCTATTCCCACTTCTGG